GTAAAGAAATGAAAGCAAAGGAAGAAAATTATGAAAAGACAATTAACATTTTGGTAAAAGAGGCACAAAAATACTGAAGAGAATTAAAAAAAACAGAATTGGCAAAATGGAAAAAGAAGTACAGAAATTCACTGATGAAAATAATTCCTTAAAAAGCAGAATTGGCCAAATGGAAAAAGAGGCATAAAAGTTCACTGAAGAAAATCATGCCTTAAAAAAGAATCAGGCAAGTGGAAGCTACTGACTCCATAAGACATCAAGAAGCAATAAAACAAAGTCAAAAGACTGAAAAAATAGAAGAAAACGTGAATAACTCATTGGAAATGCAACTGACCTGGAAAAATATATCCAGGAGAGATAATTTAAGATTTATTGGATTACCTGAAAGCTTTGACATCATATTTCAAGAAATTATCAAGCAAAATTACCCCAATATCGTAGAACCAGAGGGTAAAATAGAAATTGAAAGAATCTACCAATCACCACCTGAAAGAGATCCCCAAATGAAAAATCCCAGGAATATGAAAGGCAAATTCCAGTGCTCCTAGGTCAAAGAGAAAATATTTCAAACAGCAAGAAACTATTCAAATACCTTAGAGCCACAGTCAGGGTCACACAAGGTTTAGCAGCTACCACATTAAAGGAGCAGAGGGCTTGTAATGTAGTATTCTCAAAGGTAAAACAGCTGGTTTTACAACCAAGAATCATTTAGCCAGAAAAACTAAATATAATCTTTCAAGGGAAAAAATATGATATTTAATGAAATAGAGGCCTTTCAAAACTACTCCTGATGGAAGACCAGAGAAAATTTGAAGACTCAAGAGAAGCATAAAAAGGTAAACATGGAAGAGATATCATAAGGGACTCATTAAAGTTAAATTGTGTAGCTTTCTATATGGTATGGAATGGAGATACTCAGCAAAAAGGCACAGTAGAAAAAGTCCAGGTGAGTCCAGATTGCAGAATGCAGAGAAAGGAAGACAGGACTGGCGTGGGCATCCTTCTTGAAATAGAGACTCTGGAAGGAACCAGGAAATCAGGGAGAGATGTCACAGGTTTGGAGTGTACTTCCAGTGTGTGAAGTCCAAGGGTGAATCTTTTCTTGTAAAGGGTTTCTGGACTTTGTAGAGAAATTCCAGGATACTCAAGTAAGTGTCCCAGAGATGAATGAACATATGACTGGTCTAGACCTACTCCTTAAAATGGAGGTTCTGGGAGGAAGCAGACAATCAAAAGGAGAGGCTGCAGAGGCTTTGAAATTCTAGAGGAATTTGCATTTTATATGCTTGACGCAGTTGGTAACCACTGGAGATTTTTTTTTAGAATGAGAGTGACATGAGAAGTATTAAATTTGGTAATTATGTAGAATATGATTAGAGATGGGAGAGACTAGATGCAGGAAAACTGATCATGAGACAGTTGCCATAGCCTAGTTGAAAGGCAGTGAGGCCTGGATTATTACCAGGAGTAGTATGAGTATAGAGAAAGTGACAGATGCATGAAATGTTGAGGCAAATCAACATGATGGCAACTGATTGGACATGGAGGGGTGAATTAATAGTGAAGAGTCAAGGATGATTTTGAGATTTTTGAACCCAGGTGATCAGAGCTATGATGCTACCCTGAACAGAACTAGGGAATTATAAAGGGTTGGGGTATGGATTTAAAGGGGAAATTTGAGTTCCTTTTTTTTTTGTTTTTTGTTTTTTGGTTTTTGTTTTTGGATATATTGAGTTTGAGATGCCTGTGCAATATCCAGATGGAGTTTTTGAGTAGGCAGCTGGAGATATGGAGCATAGAATTAGAATCTCCAGGCTGGCGCTCAGCAGAGAATTGAGTAGTGGATTGTCTATTTGGGAGTCATTTACGTGGAGATGATAGTTGGATCATGGGAGCTGGTGAGATCATTAAAAAGACAGAACTATAGAGAGGGTAGGAGAGAGCCTGAGATGCATCCACACATAGGCACATGTCCCACACGTAGTCGGACATGAATAATGATCCTGTAGAGACCAAGAAGGATTGGTCCAAAAGTAGGAAGAGAACAATGACAGCCTAGTCATGAAAACCAAGTTTTGTATTGTGTTATTTGTGTATTTGCTGTATTGTCCCAGTAGAATAGAAGTTTGTTGAGGGCAGGGACTATTTTATTTTTGTCTTTATATCTACAGTGCCTAACATATAAAAGGTGCTTAATAATTACTTGTTGAATTAAATGAAATCATAGTGGTTGTTAAGCAGTTGCTTAGACTTTTTTGGGCTTCTCTGCAGTTATTGGCTTGAACATTTTAAAATAGTAAAAACCTTTTCGGAAGCTTTCTTTTAAAAATCTTCCCTGTATTATTGACTTAAATATTTCTAACTGTCCATAATTTTCTAGTTTCCTCAAGAAATTTTGGCCTCTTGAGAACTTTTCAGTAGCTGAAGTGGTTTACTTTTTTTTTTTTTTTAATATTTATCCTTATGTAATTAGTAAAAGGTAATTTATATGAGTAAGCAAAGGATAAGTAGGATCTGGGGAAACTTCAAATTATATTAAAAGAACTACTTTTCTGTTCACCTTTTAGAAGAACTGAGGTTTTTTGGCAGCCAATATAGATCAATGTTAATGAAAGTTGACTAGAGCTAAGCTGTTCTCTTTATTCTTATATTTTAAAATCAGGAGATAATTGCTGGAACAAAGGAATATTTTGGGCTCCGTGGGGCCTTGACAGTATTTCTCTTTTAACCAGGGAGAAACCCGAGCCAAAGAGATAAATATGATTAAATGCCAAGGAACAACAATGGTAACTTGTTGGCACCAGTCACTTGATGTTCCCTGAAACACAGAGGCACATTAGTCTGCCAGTACCAGGGTGTTTCTGTGCAAAAAGTAGCAGCTTTTAGAAACCAATTACCCTAGAGGAAGTTCCTTTTGGGGGGCAATTTTGCTGAAATTCAGTCAATATAAAATGAAAATGATCCTTTTTTATCATCTTTTGAAATAGTTTAATAGGCCATAGGCATAGTGTGTCTTTGGAATACATTGCTTTTATTACCTATTTTCTAAGCCAAGTGCTCTGTATTGAAAATGAAGTCCATTGATGTTCATCATACCCTTTTTTTTGGTATCAGGACTTCTCATAGTTTATAGTATAACAAAATTTGGGTCTGAATGCAAGGGTGTGTGTGTGTGTGTATCAATGTTTATATCTACATATGGATATGGATATAGATGATTAAGATTTTGTAGATTTAAGATTGTAGATTTAGAAGTAGAAAGGACCTCAGAGTCTATCAAGCCTAGGTAAGGAAACTGAACCTTTGGAATTTAAGTGACTTTTCCAAGTTCATTTGAATAATAATATTAGTGGTGGGATCTGATCTGACTCCAGGCTCAGTGCTTTTTCTATATCTGTAACACATAGATAAATAGATACTTCACAAGATCAATCAATTAGTCAAGCAATAAACATTAAGTGCCTACTATGTGCCAGGCTGAATAAAAGGGTAATGAGATAATAGATTTTAAAGAGCCGCATACACTGGTACATTAGTATTGTCATTAATTCTAATTAAGGATTACTTTTTTTTGGTTTTCTGTGGTCTGACATTCTACTTTGCTGTAATTTGTTGTCTGTTTTTTTTCTTCTCGTATATGAATTAGTGACACCATAACCATATACTAACAGAGAAATCAAGTCAACATTTATTAAGCTCCTACTATGTGCCAGTCACTATGCTAAGCACTGATGATACAAAGTGAAGCAAAAATAGTCCCTTCCTTTAAGGAGCTCACAATCTAATGGGGGGAGGAATCATGTAACTTAATTATGAACAAACAAGATCTATACAGGATAAACTGGAGATTATCTCAAAGGGAAGGCGGCAGCATTAAGGGGGATTGGAAAAGACTTCTTTCAGAAGGTGGAATTGTACCTGAGAAAATATAGCTACTGAGTTTTCATTTTGATTTCGGCTTCTAGTATCTAGACCCGTGTCAAACACACTGTCCACAACATTCTGAGTCGGCCTGAACCAGATTAAAATGCAACTGGGATGTATCTAACAAAATATAAAAATACAATAAAATATAGGTAATATGAATGTGTGGTTTTCTAAGTCAGTATGCAGCCTTCAGGGATCCTTATATGTGATATTTAGTGGCCCCTGTTTCTGTGAGTTTGATATCACTGTTCTAGATTATAAGGAAATGTGACTTTGACTTCTGAGAAGAACCAGAACAATACAATTTTAATAAATCCAGAGATGGAAGGGTCCCTAGAGGCCATCCATTTCAACCGTATCATTTTACATATGAGAAAGTTGAGGTCCACCCACGACTTGCCCAGAGTCACATAGGTAGTAAGTTTCAAAGCAGCCAAATCACTTTAATGCTTCAGGGCCCAGTTTTCTTCACAGGCAGAAGGGCATCATAATCCTTGTACTACTACCTCACTCATTGGGTTTTCCTGAAGAAAGTGCTTTGGGAACCCTAGAGGGCTATGCAAATAGGAGCAATTTGTATTCATGGCACCGGCTATGAGATTCACTTACCCCTGATGTTGTTTACAGCTTATCATTTGAGAAATGGAAACATTAATAATATTTAAGTGTCTTGAATGATTCTGTACCATCCATTGTTTTTTTTTAAAGTTACTTGTAGTATTACCTTTATAAGTAAATTTCCCACTTTGAATTTATGCCATTGTCCTCTATTGGGAATGAAAAACCACCAAAACAAAGCGATCTTTAAAAATAAAATACCAAAGTGTTTGATGAAATAGAAGTAAAGTCTTTTCCTCAGTAGGAGCCAATTTTGTGATGAGTTCACCCTCAGTACATGGAGCCATTTGGAAATTACTCCTGACCATTCAATAAAGGCAAGATATGAAAAGGGTGGCAAGTCATTTGCCATTAATTTCTTTAGTAGCTATGGACTACCACGATTAATTTCACTAAGTTTTCCTCAGCTGTTGTACACTACTGTTATTTAACATATTTATCATTTTGGTTTATAGGTAGACTGGGGTCAGCTGGACTATTTAGTTATTGACATGCCACCAGGAACAGGAGATGTACAGTTATCAGTCTCTCAGAATATCCCTATTTCAGGTAAATTTAAAAACTTTATGATGATTTGTGATTTGTTTGATATTTTTAGATCGCCACACATGAAATATAGCGTGGTGGAGTGTTTGTGACATGCAGACATTTTTATATATTTAAAAAACCCTGATGAGCCTCCACTAAAGTCCTGCTGGACTTCCTCATCATGGCAAAGAGCCACATAGCAAACTAAGCAAGCTTTCAGAATTATTTTAGATGAAAGGAAAGGGGGAAGGAGAGTGATAGAACAGTGTTTTCAACATGGACAAGCCGATTTCTTAGACTTTTACTTGATTAAAGAATCACTTTTGTGCCAATTGCCCTAAGAAGATGAAGTCAACTATAAAGATGATTCTATTCATGGTGTTTATTATCTTCGTAGTTTTAAAATATATACCAAGTTTTTTAAATAAAGGATGACAATTATTTATTGAATTAATTCTCAATAAAATTTTTGAATGTGAAAAATACATGCATAGATTCCGTGGCAGGCATGCCAATTCTCTGATAGTTTAATGGAGTTATCTCTTCAATTAGACAAACAATATCACACAGGCAGATCATAATCTCTCCATGTCTTCTTGTGCTGTAGGATTCTTGCCAAGGCCAAGTCAGACCAAGTCAATGAGTATCTATTAAGTACCAACCTATGTATCAGAAAAAATCCTTCACAGAAGATCTGCCATTCTGCCCCAAGGCCTTTCTCTGGTCTTTTAAAATTTCTTAGAGACCAGTGCATCATTTAGGCTTTTCCTGCATTCTCCCTTACGCTATATCATTGGGTGACCTCCTTTTCTGGTTATATATGTCCTTTTTGATGTCTTATTGATACTTATTTTAACAAATGTGTGTCTGTTGTACTCCCCCTCCCAACCCTCTGTCAAATGTAGGCTCCTTGAAGGCAGGGACTTGTTTTTGTCTTTGTCTTTCTAGTGCCTCACACAGTGTACTGTATATACTGTGATATTTTGATAAATCTGCATTCTCATCAAAGAGGTTACTCTCTTCAGAGATGCATATTGGAAACCATCCATACCTATTCATCCTGTGCAACTCTTGTCCATTTCTTCCTTTAAATCCTCCACAGTGAATGTAGTCAACCTGATGCGAGATCAGCCTCTATATCCTCTGATATTATGTGAATACTGATGGTGCTTGCAGATTGATATGTATCTCTTATGCAATTCATTCACCATTCACCTCTCTAGTACCCTTGATCCTCAGTATCATTTCTCCAGAGACTGTGGTATTCCACAACTCCCAGCCATGTAACATCTCCAGAAGAATATTGGTGTTCGGAAGATGGGCCATAGTTTCCAGGGGAAATCTGAAGTCAATAAAAGAACTGCATAATTTCCCAAAGGCAATATTGCTCTCTTTCCTCCTCCTGTTCAATTTGGGGCCTAGCTCACTGTACATTCACCCTACTGTCCAAGATCCATATGCTAATGGATGAGCTCTATGGGTTGTTCATAAATGCATGTCACAAGCTAGCAATAGGTATTTTTCATCAATAGATATTTTTCATCCACTTGATTTTTCCAGTGCAGATATGTAGGCCAGAAACTTTTTAGTAATTATGACTCTCATTTAGGAAGCTCTGTAGTGTCCCAGGTCTTGATGCAGTCAGTACAGTTTTATCTACAAGCAAGAGCATCTAGAAATCCTCACCATTCATAGGGAATCCCTCTTCATTTTGATTCTCCATAGAATATTTTCCATGATGGTGGACAACACCTTTGGCAAACTTGTATTTTCCTTGTTTTATGCTTCACTTAGCATTAATTAATCAGGATCATTGCACAAAGTTACCATTGGTACATCTTTCAAGGAGTCTTGTATGATTTTGATATGGGATTAGGAGACACCTTGTTGGATGACTATCTTCAAGGCAGCTTTTTCTCTATTGAATCAAAGGCTTTTTTGTGTTCTTATATTCTTGGTACCTTTTAGCATATAACTGTAAAGATATGATCTACTGTAGAATATCAGGTGAAAAAAACCTTCCTGTTTTCTTTTCATGCCTTCATCAGTTATTTCCCATATGTACATAAACATTATTCTAATTTTTTTGTTTCTTATAACAAAGTAAAACAGTTAAGTAAAATGAATAATACAGTGACCTCATCTGAAAGTTTATGTAACATTTCACATCTGTAGCATTGCCCCTCCTCTCTACTTAAAAAAAATTAATAGAAATATATTTTCTCTCCATCCCATTCCTCACCTCATAAAAAAAGAAAAAAAATTTCTTTTGAGGTATACACACACACACACACACACACACACACACACACACATAAGGGAAAAGAAATAAGCATTTATTAAGTATTTATTATGTGCCAGGTAGGTTCTAAGGGCTTTATAATTAATATGTCATTTGATCCTCACAACTCTGTGAGGCAGGAGCAATTATTATCCCTACTTTATGCTAAGCAAAACTGAGGCAGGCAGAGTTTAAATGACTTACCCAGGATCACACAGCTAGGAAGTGTGTGAGACTTTCTTTGAAACTCAAGTCTTCCAGACTCTAGGTCTGCTGCTGTCTCTACCACACTTCCTAGCTGCCTTAAGCAAAAAGATTAACCCAGTAGCTTTCTACAAAAGAATATATATCTTATTCCTCTGTCTAAATCAGTTACCTTTTGTAATGGATAGGATATTTCATCATTGGTCCTGGAATCACACAGGTCATTATATTGTCCATTCTTATGGCTTTCAAAGTTGACTTTGTAATGTTATTATCATTGAATAAATTGTTCTCCTGGTTTTGCTCATGTCATTCTACATCAATTTATAAAAGTTCTCAAAATTGTTCATTTTTATAATACTTGCATAGTTTTTATGTCTTTATGTGTTTTTTGAAATTATCTATTTCCTCATTTCTATTAGCATAGTAATACTCCATCATATTCTTATACTACAGCGTATTATTCAGCCATTCCTCACTTGTGGGATATCCTCTTAGTTTTCATTTTTTCACTACCACAAAAAAAGCTATCATAAAATATTTTTGTACATAAAAAACTTTTTTTGATCTCTTTTGGGTATTGGCCTAGCAGTGGTATAGCTAAATCAAAGGTACATATTGTCTGGTAACTTTTGTGTATAATTCCAAATTGCCTTCCAGAATGGTTGTACCCATTCACAGGTCTACCAAAAATGCATCAGTATGCTTGTTTTCCTGTAGCCCCTCTAACGTCTTTGTCATATCTTCTTGGAAGACCCATAATCCTTTGATTATGTCTTTTCATCCTGTTTTTAAGGCCAGTCTCATTGGCTTGTGAGATCTCATATTTTCTTCCAATCATGTGTTTTTTGTTTTTTCTTAGTTATTTTTTCTTTGGTTTCTACATTTTTTTAGTGTGAAGTCTGCCATTTTTTTTCTTCAGAGCATTTGCCTCTTGGAGAAATTATCTGTTTGCTTTAAATTGTTTTTTTTTTAAATTATTTCATTCAGAATTCTGATTACTGCTTTGATTTCTATTATTTCCTCTTTTAAAATTTCTTTTAATTTTTTATTGCTATTTTGAACCCTTCTGGAGGTTTTTACATTTATTCCCTTGTCATTTTTGTGGGTTTTTTGGTTGGCACTGAAGTATATTCCCTTACTTTAGGGGTTTTGGACGGTTTCTTTTCTTTTTGTAGTATTTATTCATAGTATTAGATCTATTTTTATTGTTTTCTCATTTTAAGGAATTTTTTTTTTGTTCAGTTTTTTTCTTGTGGCAAGTTTTTTCCTGTTCTCTCTTGTTATATACTCTTTGGTACATTTTCTTCTCTTTTGAGATAATGATAGGGAGTTGTAGTTAATCATACCCTCTCAACAGCCATTTTGCTGAAAATCTCCCTCCTTTACCTTCTTTTAGCTGTCATTGTGGTTTATTTAGCTTATTTGGTGAATTTCTAGCTGTTTTGGAATCCTGAGGGGTTGTTGTTTAGTCTTTTCAGTCATGTTCAACTCTTTGTGACTCCATTTGGGGTTTTCTTGGGCAAAGATATTGGAGTGGTTTGCCATTTCCTTCCTTGGCTCATTTTACAGATGAAGCAACTGAGGAAAACAATAGGAAAGCCAGGTGACTTGCTTAGTATCACACAGCTACTGTCTGAGGCTGAATTTGAATTCAGTTCTTCCTGACTTCAGGCCTGGCACTCTCTCCACTGAGCCACCCAGCTGCCCATCTTGAGGGGAGACTAAGCTTACTCTCAACATCTCATCTGACTTTATTTTGTTCTGTTCTAGAAAGAGCTAGAGAAGACGTAGACCTTCTCCTGTTCATAGCCAATCCTCCTTTCCTGTCCAGATCACTGGTGTTGCATGAATTCATAAACCTCTAACTGCTCAGAAGTGGGGCCAAGAGAAGGAGGGAAGAGATAGTCCCATTGGATCATTGCCCCATAGATGCTCTGAGAAGTAACAGCCAACAGAGGCCTGCAGCCACTCAATGCTCAGGAATGAGACCCAATACAAGAGTCTGAGAAAGGGGAGTGCTGGGCATAGGCAGGAGCAGTGAGCTGGTCAGGTAGCCTTCTACTGTTCTTTTCTTTAGGGATTATCTTGTTGAGAATTGTTCCTTTCCTTTCTTGTTGCCTTTACTAATTTATTTGATGCCTTTCTTGCTGTTTTGAGGTAATGAGACACAAGCTCTCATTCAGCTGTCTTGTTGAAATTCCATCTAGATTAACTCCAAGGCATTTTATAATCTCAGGCTTTGCATTGTATATGCCATAATCATTAGTCAGCAAGTATTTTAAAACACTTACTGTGGGCCAAGGAAGGGGTTAAGTGCCTAGGCTACAAAGAAAAACAAAAACAGGGTCCCTGCCCTTAAGAAGCTCACATAGGGAGACAGCCCAGAGACAGCACCCTCAAGAACACCTGTGTACATATAAGATCTATCTATCTTTCTGTTAGTTAGATGGAGTGTAATATCAGAGAGAAGGAATTAGTTAGGAGAGGGAGAAGCAAGGGATACATAGAAAGGCTTCCTGTAGAGAATTTTCAT